TAATCTACAAGATTTCTCCTCAACGAATAACCTCCCATGACTATGGCATATACAATAGCATGATAAATTTCCCATACAATAGGCATCTTAATGTAAATTTCAAACCATATGGTACTAATAATGACTCCTAAATATCATAATAAATGGAAATAATCATGCTACCTAACTAATAATAAATAACTGCCCTATATACAACTAACAAATCTAAAAATAAATATGCCTTGTATTAGAATTATTTAAATTTGCCATCAACAGAAAGTACATCATGCCTGAAATTTTCAGGAAGTTTTCTGGTATTGTTCTGAAATTTTTAAATAAGCATAAAGCACCAGGAAACAGAAATAAATATTCCAGAATCTGGATAAAATGCCTATACAATTTCACCAGTAAATAGTAAACTATATCAATAGTCTTACAATAAAAAAATTGCAGCCCCCAAGAAATTTTAATCATGCAACAACCAGGATGCATTTTAAAGACGAAAATAATGCATTATTATTCAGGAAAAAATATTTTTTATTTTCAATAAAATTTTCCAAAATTTTAACAGAATGTGAAAAAATTAATTTCTGAGTGTAACGGCTACCAACCATGCTTAAGAACAAGAAGCTATACACGTAATAAATTTATGGCCAACTGTAACGCAATCAGAAATCTAGTAAAACATTAACAAACAAGGCCTTGATAGCCAAGCAGGCGGGAAATAACGGCTCGACTTCGGGCTCGGCTCGGCGCCCCTCAGCACTTCGAGCGCTAAGGTTCGGGTCGGCATATAGGGCGGCTCGCGCGGTCTACGGTACCTCGGCGATCGCTCCATGCACAGCGGCGCTGCGTGCGAGGCGCGGACCGGCGTTGCGCGTGGACAGCGCCCTGGACGCCGCGTTCCGTGATGGCGGCGTGCAGGCGCGTGCAGGGCGTCTGGGCGTGTGTGGGCGCGTGGCAGCGCGTGCGGCGCGCTGGCTACGGCGTGGCTGCGCTGCATACCACCGCCGCCCTTCCAGGGTACTGACTGGGTCCGATTTTTTACTCGCCGGACTCCTATTGGTTCAAAAATTTAAAACCGTTTATGGTAATGAAAAAAGACATTAATGAACATAAAAAAATATTTATGCTCTTAATACTAATCCAAAGTAGATTTTTTTTTCCTCTTTCCAAAACAATTCATGTATATAATGTATAAATACACATGTAAAAAATATACACATGATTAAAAAAGAAACACGAAAAATATCCATCAATGGCTTCTGAATACCAATGTAAATCAAGAGCTTATAAAAACCCTGGCAGCGAAATAAATGTTTAGATCATTACTTTTGAGATAGAACACGATCGTGGAATAAAATCACGTGCTTCGAAATCTAGTCAATTCAACCCAGCAGTAAGTGGATATTTACAATAGTTGAATATCACACGCACACAAAACCACAGTTGCAAATAGGCTTTTGATCGTTTATTTTGGGAGGAGACGCAGTATCTTGGAAAAGAAGAACAAACATACGTTGTTTTTTCGCACTTATCACCCATATCCCATATATCAGATAATACTAATAACTATTTATCTTCATTATCCATTTGGTTAATGAAATAAGAATGCTGATATACTATATCATCTATCCATATCATAGATAATGATAGATATAATCCTGAGTGGCATCCAAAATAGTTTAAATTTTAGATTCAAAACCCATTTGGATGAAGTTCAAAAGGTTTCTAAGGGTCATGCACATGGGACGCCAAGTTCTAACATGATTTATATTATATATAATAACCAAACCAAACCAAAGACTTTCTCTACTCTCTCCTCTGCATGCACGCGCTCCCGATGATACACACAAGTATGTATGTATGTATGTATATATGCTATACTTAATATCTCATCTCTGTTACTGTTCCCCCCGGTTGTGTCTTCAGATCTCAGATCTGAAAATCTGTGTTGGTGTGTGTTTGTATCTCAAGATTTAGGGTTGACAAGTGTGTGCATGTTATTGTAACATCCCGAAATTTTCTTAACAAGAATTAGCACAACCATTACATCAAAACAATAAAGTCCTCTTTCTCAATTGAATTAAGATTCAGAAATGTACAAGATCCATGTTTACACATTAAATCTCAGTCCATGTCCTTGGGTAGAGTTCAATAAGCAAGAAGACTTAACAAAGAGAAATTTGCCATTAAGACATAACAAAATTTTAGGTAAGCTTTCGTCCAATACAACGAAACGTATCTACAAATGTTTGACATAAAACTCTACACTTACTACATGTAAATTTCTGGGACCCAGCTTTCTAGCAAAATACAATGTAAACTCAAGTCACTGCGAGGTGGTGTGAGTCACCCTTGGTTCCTAAAAAACAGATATTTCTAAAAAATGATAACGGTTGAGGCCTATATGCCCAGTAAGAATACGTTTAACCAAGTAATCTAATTCAATTTGGACATGCCACACGACACTATTATAACTAAATAGATAAATAAAAAAAAAAAATTAAGCTACACTTTCAATTTCCACAAAAAATGTTCTCAACACATTAAGAAAGAGAAATGTACTATGAGTCCCTTACAAGAAGTCCAAACCACATACACAAGTCAACTTTCACCTTAATACTACCCCACATTTACAACTATTATATACGGCAGGACGTTAGACACCCAAATTATCTGTTTTTTTCACTTTTACCGACTTGCAATACGGCAGACCAGTAGACACCAACAAAAAAAAAAAAAAGAAAAAACGAAGACAAAAAAAAACCCTAC